ATACAAAAAGTAAGAATAGCCGGTCCGTAGAGGCGACACAAAATTATCTTTTGATAATAAAAGCTGTATAAGCAAATGTGTAAAAATTCAATTTTAGCATAAATGACCATTACCCTAAGATAGCAGACTTAACGTCTAGGACAGATAGGCAGTTCAGTAACTTTATGCCTGAGGACATCAAAATCTTACGAATTTAAAATGGAATTGCATTTCGTGTATGTACATGTCTGTCAGAACATTAAAACAATTTTATAAAATCGAAAAAAAAAAGAAAAGGTAGACAAAAAATAATTATTATATTATATATATATATATAATATTAATTATTATATTATTTATAAAAAGAAACACAAATGTCCGCCATTTTGTGTTATTTTTTGTTTTGACGTGACGCCACAATTGTTGAGTTATTTCCGGTTCGAGCGTTGTGTATTTATATGGAATGAAATTGGAAATAATAAAGAAAAGAAAGTGATTTCGAATCAAACTTAATATTGTCAAAAAGCTTGTCAAAAAGCTGATTTTCAGCAAGTTTCCTTTTAATGAGCAGCTCACCGTCAAGTCAAGAAACTAAATAAAGAAGCAAGTCTAGAAAATGGTCTGCTAAGTTAAGCCTTAGCAACGGTGCGCTTCCCAGGAAAAAAAAGCAAGTCTTAGAGAAGTCCGCTTCCCAGAAAAGAAGCAAGTCTAAGGAGCGCCGCAGTATGTCTAACTTGTGCAGCATGTCTAAGGAGCACAGCAATTTGAAGAGGTGCAACAAGTATAAGAGCGCAGCAAGTATAAGGAACACAGCAAGTATAATTGTGCAGCAATTATAAGGAGTGCAACTAGTATAAGGAGCGCATTTAATCTAAATTGTGCAGCAAGTTTAAGGAGTGCAGTAAGAATAAGGAGTGCAGCACGTATAAAAGCGCAGCAAGTCAAAGGAGCGCAGCAAGTCTAAGGAGCGCAGCAAGTATAAGGAACGCAGCAAATCCGAATTGTGCAGCAAGTACAAGGAAGGCAGCAAGTTTAAGGAGCACAGCAATTATAAGGAGCGCATCAAGTATAAGGATCGTAGCAAGTATAAGGAGCGTAGCAAGTCTAACTTGTGCAGCAAGTAAAAGGAGGGCAGCAAGTCTTGGGATCGCAGCAAGAATAAGGAGTGCGACAAGTGTTAAGAGCGTAGCAAGTCTGATACTGCAGCAAATTTAGGAGTGCAGCAAGTCTAAGGAGTGCAGCAAGTCCAAGAAGCGCAGTTACTCCAAGTAGCGCAGCCGGTCTAATAGTACGGCAAGTCTAATACTGCAGCAAGTTCAAGTAGTGCAGCAAGTATAAGGAGCGTAGCAAGTCAAATTCTGCAGCAAGTCTTGGGAACGCAGCAAGTTCGAGGAGTGCATCAATTCTTATAGTCACAAGTACCGCTCAGAATATCAATAAAAATCTCTCAAGTGAAACTAAAACTTGAAAATTTTGAACATTTTTAAGAGGTTTTGATTAAATGACCAATATGTATTACGACTAGTGGTTTAGAATAGGAGAAAAGCTAGGGTTATCTGACAGCGATGTTTAATGTGTCTTCAAGAGAATGTGGAAGAGTGCCTAGCCAGAGAGAAGGGAGCCCGAATGCATAAAGAAGAAAGAAGACAGATGGAAATAGTTTTGAACTCTAGATTAAAGAAAAAGATCTTGAGATAGAGCGGTTCAAATCAAGCAAAGTAACAATCAGTGAGAGAAGCATGTCCCTCAGACCAAGAATACCTAAGTTCGATGAAGTAAATGACAATATAGATACATTTCTAGAGATATTTGAGATATTTGCCATCAGCAAAGACTGGGAGAAAGACAATTAGGCCATGAGGATTAGCTTATGACTATCAGGGCAAGACCTTGAAGTGTTCACAAGTTTGCCTAAGGAAGAAGCCAATAAGTATGACACTTTGAAGAGGGCTATTCTTAACCGATACCCGTTGAATGAAGAGGGTTTCAGGGTGAAGTTCAGACAGAGCAGACCACTTCCTGGTGAGTCTGTTTTTCAGTTCTTTGAGAAATTGAGACGTTATTCTGCAAGATGGACAGATATGACCGGAGAAGAGCAGACCTTTTATGGAATAAGCGAGCTCTTAATCAAGGAACAGTTTATCGAGGGATGTTCAACAGATATGGTCGTCTTCCTGAAAGAACGAGTGCCAACATCAATAGAAGAGTTAACACGCCTTGTAGAGTACTATATAGAAGCGCATAAAACAAGGGCAACTTGGCAAGAGATCCATACCATTGACATCAGGCTAAATGACAGAGAACAGAAATTCGCCAATGAAAACATGCTTTATTTGTAATAAGAACAGAACAACAGAAGGCAGACACCGAAGGTGTACTTATTTGCAAATAAGATTGGGCAAATTGCAAACGATTGTAGGCAGACAAAATCAGATAGACGTGTAAAAGTGACCGCAAGGTAGCAGCCGTATGTGCCAAAGCAGACCTTAATACTTTAGTAAGACAAGAACACTGAAGATTAAAAATCGAAATCAGCTAGTGGAGAGACTGTGCCTATCCTCTCGGGGCTTGTACCATTTATTTAATGGAAGAAGAAAAACATCTTAAATTAAAGAAAGGTTTTGTCGTTACAAACGCAGTGAAAGGATTGAGAGATACTGAATGTGAGTGAGCGGCTATGAAGAAAAAGTTTGTAAAAGACGAACAACTCAAGAGTAAAGAAATTGTCATGATTACAATTTATGGAGAATTTGGCGAAATTATTGGTAGATACTTCGTACTATGTTTGGGAGTTAGAGGCAATGGTGCTTAAGTCATTGATATGCAACTAATTGATCGGGAACCTCACCGGGGTACTTGATAAGCCTGATTCTGAATGGAAGCAGACAGAAAAATCATCAGCTGTTGCAGCAGTCATGAAAAGAGCACAACATCAGAGAGCAGACCGTCCAACCAGAGCTTTAACAGTTCCGTATTTTCCTGCGAAACTGAAGTGGACAGTGAAAAGTTAAAGGAATAAAAACAAGATGTTTGTTCATTGAAAAATGTTTGGGAGTTAGCAGAGAAGACAGAAGAGTTGCAAACTAAAGGAGGGGCAAACTTCAAATACGTAGAAGAAAAACGGTATGATTTGAAAAGCATACTTTCTGCAGAATAGTAATGACTCAAGCACATTGTCGTTCCGACGGATTTTAGGAAGAGAGTGAACTTTCTCATGAATCCATTGTTGGTGGACATATGCCATCTAAGAAGACAGAGGACAAAATTCTGACATGTTTCCACTGTTAGAGAAGGGCAATAGATATATCATGACAGTTGTAGATTTCGCCACCTGTTACCCTGACAGCGGTGCTATTGGCAGGAATAGATGCTGATAGCATTGCCGAAGCAATGCTTGAAATATATTCGAAAGTTGGCTTTCCATCAGAAATTTAAGTGACAGGTTCTAAGGTAGTCAATTTACAAGTATGTCAAGAGACAAAATGTGGACATTGAAATACAAAACATGTTAAAATGTTATTGAATCACCTGTGTCAGAATACAATGCACCGATAGTCATTGATAAGAAGAAAGAGGGAAGATATAGATTTTGTTTAAAAGAGTGAATGCTGTCATCAAATTTGACACCGAACAATTGGCAAGCGTGGATGACATATGGCAAAACTGAAAGATACTAAGTATTTTGGAATGATCGACTTGTTAAAAAGGTTATTGGCAAATCCAAGTTGCTAATAATCGCAGATTTACAGCATTTGCTACAGACAGAAGATGTTCAATTTAATTTGAAAGGATGCCTTTCAGCATGGTGAACTCTGGGCCACGTTTAATAGAATGATGCAAAAGTTATTGTCAGGATGTGACTTTATTGACAACTATGTTGACGAAAAGATAGGGCATGCAACGACAACGACTTGAATGGAGCATATGACAATGTTGCAGGAGCTCCTCCGAAGACTGGCAGAAACAGAGCTTACCATCGAAGTGTTATAAAGGATATATAAAAACATTGGCTTTACAGGACATAAAGTGGAAAAAACTTACAAGAATCAAAGAAGCAGAAGTTACAAAGACTAAAAGACAAGTAAGATTATTATTCGGACATTACAGGACATTTATACCATTGTTTGTTGATATTGCGGCACCGATTACAAACTTAACAAAGAAAGGCCCATCAAACAAGGAACGATGGCGGGATGAGCAATAAAAAAACTTTTAATATATAAAGAAGTAACTAACCAAGAGCCCGATTATTCGACTGCCTGATTTTTTAAAAGAATTCATTTACAGTGTGATGCATCAAATGCTGGAATTGTATGCGCATTTCTTCAGTGATACGAGGGAGTATAAGGAAGGCAGCAAGTTAAAGAAGCGCAGCAAGTATAAGGAGCACAGCAAGTATAAGAGCGCTGCAAGTCTAAGGAGGGCAGCAAGTCTAAGGATCTCAGCAATTATAAGGAGCGCAGAAAGTCTAAGGAGCGTAGCAAGTCCAAGGAGCACGGAAAGTCTAATTAGTCTAAAAGTGTAGCAAGTTTTGGAGTGCAGCAAGTCTAAGAAGTGCAGCAAGTCCAGGAAGCATAGGAAGTCTTAGGAGCGCAGTCCAATAGGGCAACGAGTCAATACTGCAGCAAGTTAAAGAAGTGAAGCAAGTATAAGAAGCGTATTAAGTCAAACTACTGTAGCAATTCTTAGTAGCGTAGCAAGTCTGAAGAGTGCATCAATTAATAGTCACAAGTACCGCTCGGAATATCAATAAAAATCTCTCAAGTGAAACCAAAACTTGACAGTTGTACACTTTGTTCAAGCACAATATAAGAGCGGGCATTATCAATTTTCTTGACTGGTTCCTAACTTTGTTTAGTTTGCAATCATTTCACTTTACAGTACCAAATTAAACTTCGTTCAAATGCTTTGTAATTAATCACTCAGGCATATCGGCCATGCTGAATATATTCCTGCGTATTTGAACCAGAACTGTGCATTATTCCACAACAATGCACCTGAAATTAATATGTGTGTCCTAATTATGAAGTGAGTATACCTGTTTTCTGATCTTTGCGTAAACTCTGTAGCTGTTTCCGCACGAACCTACCAACTTCACGAAGAAAAGACCCTACGACAACTCCACTTAAGAAAGCGATTTTTGTCAGAGAAGCTGAAAGGTACAAAAGATAATCAAGAACATGAAAGGAACAGATTCGTTTTTGATTTATTTTTTCGACATAGTTCTATACTTTTGTTTTGAACTGTCGTTGGTATGGACGCGTTGCTAACCAACTTTGTTATAACGTGACCAATCAGAAGCTAGCGTTTCGGCAGCGGAATAAGCAGTGTACTGCCCCGGGATCTTTCTGGAACACAAAATGAGTTTATCTTTATATTATAGTTATTGATAATAAAACAACAGCTAACAACAGAACACGTCTTACAAAGGTTTCTGAACAGTACGAAGATAAACTTTTATATTCAACGAGGTGTTGACCGGGGCCGGACATCTAACGTCGTTGCGGGTCTTTATTGTATTTATCAAATGCATATTCTAAACTTGCGAAACGTGTACCTCCTTGTCCAAGTTCGGAATAAAGATCAATTCTAATGTTCAATTCTTCTACATCTGTTTTAAGTTTTTGTGCATGTTCAGAATAACCCCTCCGTGTATTATTAAAATATTCTTTACAAAGCAAAGTCTTGTAAGTTCTGGAAAAAACAAACAATTTTGTTTAGTAGCTCATTTTTAGCAGAGTATATTCAGGCCCATTTTAAATACCTAAAACCAGCTTTCAAGGTACCTTAACTAATTAGTCAGGGAAATACAGTTTTTGTCAAAATCTATATAGTATAAAGGTGCATCAGTTTGAAGATAAAAAAGAGATAAGTTTGCAAATAATTAAGTAAAGATATCAATAAAGTTTTTGAAAGATTAATTCATGCTAACCTTTTGTATAAGATACCACGGGCGGGGCAAAATTTGACCATCGAGGCTATTTCAGTACATGATATTTACAGGAAAAAATGAATCAGATGGCTTGGGTTACGAGACTGGGGTATGGTTCTGAGAAGTTACTGTGTGATCAAAACAATTCTAGTTTATGTTGTTGTTATTATTTGACTTTCTTTTTGGAATAAACCATTGTAAGTTATGGATCTCGCTTTAGTATGACATTTGGCGCTGTAGATTCTGTACATTACCTATTCGTAACATATTTGTAACGCTACTGGTGAAATTATCCTTGTTACAGACGTAATTGATCGCACTCTCTCAATTTCTTGTCTTGAGGGCAAAATAATATTATAATAACATTCTACCCAAGGTCTAACTTATATTGCGTAGGCTGTCTCCTTAACCATTTTCATTTTATGTGAATATGCTTCTTTTTATGACGCGTAATGATCTGTATGTTTTGGAAGTTACATTATGTATATGCATGGACCAGTGTAAGTATGGAAATGGTCATCCCAGGGCATGTTGATGTATCATGGCGTTTCTGAAGTGAGATCATCAGTACTTCGTAATTCAATTATCCAATTTCTGTCCTATGCTTCTAATTTACTTATAGAGATCATTTCGTAAAAGAATTGAAAATCTGTCGGAGAGGTAATTGCCGTGTAAATTATGGTTTCATCAGGAAAGAGATTGATCAGTTGTGTCTCGCAGCTCTTCTTTAAACTAGTATATGTGAAATTAACAGGTTTTTAAAACATACCATATATTTCCCATACATTTCTATTGCGAAAACTTTTTTATGTCAGTTAAGTACATTATGACCCGTTGATAATATGAAGCAATTCTACTGTTGTTGTTTTTTTTGTCCAAAAATGTTTAACTGTGTTACTTTGGAAATATAGCAGGGTGGTAAATTCATATATAGCAGAGAATATTCTGAGAATTACTTAAATCATTAAAAGGCAATATACATGTAATTTATCACTTTGACAATAAAATGGTATAACATAAATTAAATACATCAGCACATTCTCAACAGTGTTCATTAAACGGTATAAAGCTATATTTTATTAAATAGATTTTATAATATAATATCGGTAGAATTACATTGTTTCCATAATCTTATGATCGTATGCATAATAATATTGATCACAGAATGTCTCTATCATCAAAATACGATTGATCAAAAAGTTCTTGGCCCGGTGTATTTCCGGTAGTCAGAGAACTCAACTTACGGTCTTTCCTTTCAATATAATCGCCCAGTACATCAATGCACTTTGCCCACCTGTGCTGCAACTTGTTTAACTCTTCAAAATAGAACTTATGTTTTGGTCCTTAAAGAACTCACTGACCGCCCCCATGACACCTTCATTGCCTCCAAATCTTCTACCACGAAGCTTTGTTTTCAGTTTCAGAAACAGGTAAAAGTCAGAACGGGGGCAAATCCATAAAATATGGGGGATGGGGAAGAATTTCAAACCCGCAGTCAGTTGCAGCAGCCATCGCAACTTGGCATATGTGAGCTGGCGCATTGTCGTGCAGGTGCAGAACGCCTTGAGTCAGTTTGCCTCTCTTTTTACGCGTTTTTTAATCTCAATTCGTTTGCATAGTACGTACCGTTTATGGTACGACCTTGCTCAAGATAGTCGACTGACTATACCAAAAATTGAAGCAATCATCTTCCGTGCTGATGGCACCTCTTGATTTCTTCGGAAGGGGTGGTGAGCCAGGGTGCTTCCACTGCATGCTCTTTGTTTTAATTCTAGATCGAAGTGATGGACCCACGTTGCATCCTGAGTTACGATCCGGTATATAAAATCAGATTCATCCTCGTATCGAGACAAAAGATATCTTGAAATGTCAAGCCTTGTCCGTTTCTGATCGTCAGTCAACCGTCTGGGAACCTATCCAGCGGACACTTTGACATGCCATAGACATCTGTCAGAATTGCCTGAACTGAACCAAAGCTTATACCCACTTCCCTACCAATGCTTTGCAGGTATCGCCTTCTGTAGCACATGACCAGATTGTGCACAGCTTCGGCAGTTTCATCCTTGATTGCCTCTTTTGGCCGCTCTGGCCGCTTATCATCTCCTATGCTTTCCCTGCCCCCCTTAAATTCAGCAGCCCATTTTTTTCACAGTGCTATAGGAAGGGGACTCCTTCCCAAGTGTATCCATGAAGTCTTCATACATTCTTACAGAGGTTCTTAATGACGGCTTTGATTTCAACTTTCTCCATTTGGTCTAAATGACACACCCTCTTCTTATCAAAGTGTGTTTTATGTTACTAAATCTGTGTAAAACAGCGTGTAGCTGGGTCAGTAATCTTCAATAAGATATCGGTATCGACGTATCGTGTGTAAATGTCAGTGTAGTGGCTAGAAGTATATCGGGCCGAGAACTTTCTGATCACACCTCGTACATGTCTATTATACATAAACAGAATAAAATGTTCCCAAAACAAAGTATTATGGTTTTATTTTAAGTAAGGTTTTAACCGTTCAGCAATGATTTCGATTATGCTTTATTTTTTTAATGGCAATATACTGCAATATTTCTTTTAAAATAGCATTTTTGAAGTATTCTCTTAAGGACGTTACCTCAGGCTTCATTACCTCCGATCCCCTTTCAAAATTCCATTTTATTTAGTTCCGCCCATTGTTTTCTCGTTTAGGGCACACGCTTTTTATTACTTGGGGACCATACGCCGCTTTTCATGGAATGGCACGGAAGTGTCACATTGAAGGTTCCATGATAACCGCCGTATGAACACATCTGCGGATGTTTCTAAATTCAAAATTTTACTATTTAATGTTTAAATGTTGAATTCTGCTTAAGCCGGTGCTAGGGGGCGTGGACGGTAACTTGCACTTTCCAGTACCGTCCATGAACAGGCTCAATCAAACCGAGCCTGCAACATTTTCAATTTTGCCGTGTTGGGCTTTCTTTAGGGATTCTGTATTTATCTATTTTCGGGAGCTTTCATATAGACATATAGGCAAAATTAAAACTGTTCAATAGAATTTCTTTAAACTTGGCATGTTGTTAGAATATGAGAACAGAAACATTTTAAACGGAAAAAAATTGGGGTCACCGTTCTCATTTTCGAGTTATCTGCCCTTGAATTGGACTTTTTCGTTAAATTCAAGGGCAGATAATTTACAATGAAGGGAAACAATACAATTTTTTTCTTATTTTCATGAAGCTTACCTTCGTTTTAGTCGATATGCACATCTTTTTAAGAACGAATTTAGATAGAGTAGATAATTTTTTTCCCACTTTTTCTTTTAACCTGTGCATTTTTTATTAAAAAATGGCGGATTTTTTAAGAATTTAAAGTACCTTAATTTTATTGAAAAAAAAAAATAACAGAAACAATATAAGGAATTGCATGTTATTATGTATTGTCCTCAACAATAAAAAGAAAAACATAATCCAGAAGTAAAAACAAGATTTCATTTAAGTATGTATAAGTTATCTGCCCTTGAAATGACCTCAAATAAGTAGAAAATTCTGATTCAGGGGCAGATAACTCAAAAACGAGAACGGTGACCCCAATTTTTTTTTCGCTTAAAATGTTTCTGTTATCATATTCTAACAACATGCCAAGTTTAAAGAAATTCTATTGAACAGTTTTCATTTTGCCTATATGTCTACATGTATATGAAAACTCCCGAAAACGTCCTTAAATTCAAACAATAAACTTGAATACCTAACTTCTCAAGCTCTGTCTGTCCAATGTTTTTCTTACTGTGAAAATATTCGGCTACTTCTGCGAAGAAATTTGCCGTTCGTCTAAAATAAAAAATAACAACAACAACAATAACAACAACAAAAATGATAATAATAATAATAATATTATAAATGATAATAAATAATAATAATAATAAAACATGTAATAATAACAAAACAAAACAAAAAATAATAATAATAAACGTGCTTTGTAATAATTACACAAAACACTATTATGCTGATGATGAAAGGAAAAAAAGGAAAATAACATGTATATACAATATAATAACAATGATAGTAATAAAGGTCACATTGAAGATAATAATATAAAAAAATGATAAAGAAAATACAAAAGGAAAGATGATGGTATTGATCATGATAATCTTCATCGTCATAATTATACTCATTTTTAAGATGATTATTAATCTGGATTATAATAATGATGATTTTCTTTTCAAAACTGAGAAAAGGACGCATGATTCTTACAATTTATCCGTGCAGCCTGGCTTCAGTCTCCTAGCAATATCAATTAGGCATGCAATGCCATTTATTGTTTCGTCAGTGCATCCAAACGTTTCCAGTAGATGTGAACGGACATTGGCGTCGGTGAAACAATCAGCCAGAAAACGGGGAATTTCATCACTGATCTGAAGGGAAAAAAATATCTTTAGAAATATAAATGATTGGTGAAGATAATGTTTTGGTTTTCTATAATATAAACTAATGTTGTTTGAAATTTGAAATACACAGCTATTAAGTAACATGTAAATAAAGTGCATATGTAAAATACAAAAAAGTTATACTGATGTGATAGGGAGGCACATATTATTAACTGATTAATAAATATACAATCTAAACATACTATCTATACATATTATCTATATACTGGTAAAACCGGTGCTAGGGGGCACAGAAGATGTTGATCCTTCCACACAAATATATCATACACATATAAAACGGAAACCTTTAATCTCATAACTAATTAATGAATATATAATCGAAACATACTGGTATGATCAATATACTGGTTAAACCGGAACAAGGGGCATGAGAGATTTTGAACCTTCCATAATCTCTTATGAATAATAAAAAAGCCCCTAGAAAAAAAATTCTTCGAAAGGGATTCCAATATTTTCTAGATTTTTTTCATATCAGACAGGATTAGCTACATTTTACACCGGTGCCTTACCTTACACCCTCCGTGTAAGACACGTCGATCGCGTGCTTTAAATGACGTCATTCTCGCGTGCCTTTTATGAATGAACTGCATTCTTAGAATGATGTCTTTTGACGTTATGAATGAAGAGGCAAATTTATACGCTACTACATGTATACAAAAAAAGTGCTTATAAAAAAAGGGGTTTTCGTAATTTCCTTCGAGTTATGATTGTTTTTAATATGTAATATGCAAGAAAAAGAATCAAACGCCGGATGTCGTCACGGACTGGAATATCTAGCTCTCGGGTCACTTTTGAACGGAACTCGGCAAAGCTTCGTTACCGCCGTAAACAGTTACACTCGAACTAGATATTTCAGTCCGTCTGTACCGGCAGCCGGTGTAAGATTATGTTCTACTTTCTTCCTAACTCTTAGAAGGAAAAAATATCAGCATACATTGACATTTGATATTGCAAAGGTTTTATTCCATAAATAATGATCTAATAGTTATTCACTGGGTCAAAACAAACTTGAATTAAGACAAAAATGATATGGTCCTTAATTCTTACTTGTTGAAATATTTTGTCTGAAGATTGAGTTTCTCCCAGGTTATTTTTCCCTGCAACACAAAAAACATGTTAACACAAATAATAAATTTTCCAAAAATATCTACCTATTCACATGGTCGAGACAAAAATGTTACAAAGTTACACAACTTTACAAAAGTCATAATCTTATGCTCTTGTCAGAAAAAATGTAAATTTGAAAATTATTGCTTTTTGAGTGTATAAAGCTGAAAACTTCACTTTCAGAATACGGTTTATCAAATATATATAGACACAAGACTTTCACCTAGAACCCAGTTACTCCAAAATCAAACCAAAGTAACAAGACCACCCAAGATATCCACCAATGTGAAAGAGATCGGTCAATAAATAAAGGATGTGTGATGTGAGTAAAGTGTAAACTCCACCATGTTTGAGGATTACCCAATATAAACTTTATTATAAATATGAAAGAGGTCGGTCAATCAAATAAATGCTGCATAAAGAAAGTTTAATTGTCAACTTTGAATATTTGGCACGTTTTTACTTCAAATGTAAGGCTAATATGAAGTTCACCACGGCAATATGAACATAAATCAAGACCATTATGCAAAAGTACGACCTTAATGAAAAAACTCGGCTATTATAAAATCTGAGAATTTTGATTGGCTCTCCAGCTCGGCTTTATGAAACTGTTTTTTGATAATAAAAAAAGTCGCAGCTTTGAATTGCTGCATGGTTGGTTTCGAACAAGAATCTCATTTGCAATACTTCACAACAACAGAATTTTACAGTTAGTTATTTTTTGTTTCCTAAGTACTTAACCTTTTTTAGATTATGTGTACTCAATTAATAAATTGTCAATAACTAAACGTTTTCATAAGGGCCTTGTTATTGGACTTTAGACTGTCAATAGCAAGGCCATTATGTAAACACAATTAACATTACAGTAATAATCAAATTTGAGCATCGTTGGCCTTGGCATTTAACCATTTAACTAATGTAAGAAAATTATTATAAAGAGTGTACATATCAAATATGAAGGACATCTGTCAACAATTAAAAGCTGCATGAATAAAAGTGTAAACATTTGTTTGAGCATCGGTGACCTTAAACTAAGTATTCCCTAAGTCCACCTTACCGAAGGTATGTACCTACCAAATATGAAATACATCAATAAATAAAGACGGTATGAGCAAAAGTGTAGAAAATTTCTTAAGCTTTGGTGACATTGACTTTGAACCCAGTAACCTTTAACTCATACCAGAAGGTGAAGAACTACAGAAAGTATTTAACTATGTTAAATATGAAATACATTGATAAAAAGGCTGTATCAGAAATAGTGTATTACATTTCTGAAGCATCGGTTACTTTGACCTGAAACTCAGTAACCCGAAATTCCGTTTCAAATTCAAGGATCAATCAAGTTAAGTTCATATCATATATGAAAAGTATCGTTCAATAAATAAAAGGTGTATAAGTAAAAGTGTAAAAATATATTTTTAGCATTAGTGACCAAAACCTTAAGATAGAAGACTAAACGTCTTGTTTAACCTCGTGGGATCGGACCGACATGCAGTTCAATAACTATATGCCCGAGGACATCAAAATCTTTTTTTTTTGCAAAACCAAACTCGAATATCAAATGGAATTGCATTTCGTGTATGTACATTTCTGTCAGAGCATTAAAATAATTTTATAAAATCGGAAAAATAAGAAATGGTAGACAAAAGACACCAGTCACTGTGTTATTTACTTGCCTGAAATTATGAATAATTGAATTCAAGAATACAGTTAAGAGCTCCTGCATTAATATTTTATTTACAATCATTTACAGTTTATTTGTTTTTACATGACAATTAATAAACCGATGGAAATTTTGAAGACAAAGGTCGTCTAACATTAACTTCTATTCTGCAACGGATCACACAAATGGTATTCATACGTTTGGCTGTTTACGAAAAGCACACACAATATATACAGAAGGAAAGAATCGCCGATTCAAAACGACCATGCCATGCGAGTATCACGCTGACAATTTGCTCGTATATTAAAAGAACATCAAATCCAATGTATTAAGGAATCCGCAACGGAATCAGATAAATGGTGTTTTAACGGTTGGCTCCTGAAAATGGAGGCTTTTTTTACAAATCAATCTTAGACTATATGTGTACATGAATAGTCTTAAAATCAATTTTTGAAATAAGTAGTTTAACAACCATTTATTGAAATCGAAAAAGTTTTCAATCTGAAAAATAAATAAACAAAAATCTATTAAGGGGAAGAATATGAAATAGTTGCACACTTGTTTCCAGCAAATGAAACAAACCTACTTACCTGGAAAAAATAAGAGCAGGTATTATCAATGTGCATGGCTGTTTGTTCATTTTATTTAGTTTGAAAACATTTCATTTGACTGAACCAAGTGTGCAAACTTCGTCCATATGTTTTGTAATTAATTACTCAGTCCTATCGGCCGGGTTCGCATTTGAACTCCAACCGCGTATCATTCTACAACAATGTACTCAAAATTGTTACCTGTTTCCTACATATACAATGAATATACCTGCTGTCTTGGCATTGGCGGGAACTAATTTCTTTTGCACACTCCCCATGAAATGTACAATTTCACGAAGACAAAATCCTACGATAATCCCACTTGTGAAAGCCAACTTTGGTGGAGAAGCTGAAAATTCCAAAAGATAATCAAGAACATTAAACATTTATCTTTTTTTATTTTGTTTCGTTTAGTTTTGCTTGTGAGACTGCCACAAAACACTATATAATTTAATATAAATAAGTCCCCGGTGGGTTTCCATACTATAATTATAAAATGTTAATAAATAAATTTAAATTGAAGTACCTATCACAGTAATAAACTTCAAACTTTTGGCGCGTAAAATGTGGGGTAGTAATATTAAAACTATAGAAACTGGCTGAATCATAAGATAGTTTTATGTTTTCCTATACCCAACTTTTTTTCATTAACGCGAGATCTTTGGCAATTGCGTGCGGTTACTAGGAAAGTTTTTCTAAACTATCTTTTACACGAACGCCTAATGGTTTAATGTCTTGTTTAAAAATTCATCACTTGTTTTAAAAATAATTCTTCGAGCAGAAAGTTAACTCTTAAATGATACTCTTAAGGAGAAAGCTTTTTCCTACGTTGATAAAGGGAAGGTTTTCCTGCTTCATCATAGAGACTTTCTACTGGTGATATTCGAAATGCACCTAAATCCACGGAGGTCTTAGTGATGTACTGTATCGAGCATTTGTAAATATAATATCATTGCTCAACCATAGATTATAGAACCATAACCTTTAATGAGTTTAAAATTTTAAGACATTAAGTTTTCAGCATTTTTATATCTGGAATAAAGGCAAGTTTTTTATCAAATATAACTCCAAGACATTTTGTTTCATTGATGTTAAAAAACGGGTTTTCTGTACTGTGATCAGTGTTTGTTACCAAATATGAATCCTTTCCAACAATAAATGACAAAGTTTAGAAAATATTATCACAATTCACTCCTTGGAAGTCAGGGTCATTTAAAGGTCAAGTTCATATTTAAATTATTCCACATGTCTGTTCGGTCACAAGTGTTGTTTTGTCCACGTATCAATCAAATCCGTATGTAAAAACAAAATTATGACAACTTAACAAAGTTCAATATTTTAACGGTCAAGGTCATTTAAAGGTTCAGGTCAAGGTCAGTTCAATTTTTTAGAAGGTCTTGTTCTAAAAGTTGTTCCGTCCAAGTATGAAAATTATACATTGATTAATTATCAAGTTATAACCAATTATAGTGATAATCAGTTAAAATTAAATAATTTGAACATCAAAGTCACCATAATACGAGGGCTGTCCAAAAAAATTCGTGCACTGCAGTTATTGTCGTGAGAGTTCTTGATAGAAAAACATTAATCATATATCACTTGAAGGGGAGATCTGTCTCAAGTGGGAAAACAAAAGAAAAAAAACGTGTAACCGGCATGTCGTGAAAACGAATCGTCAAACAGTTACCTTGGTAACGTAATACCGGCGCACGACAAATAATTTGGGTTAATTAATTACTTTAATGCATCACGGTATTCTTTAAACACTACATATAAACGTTAAATTTCAGGGAAAAGTATGTGTACGTATTTCTAACGTCACTATAAAATATTAAGTCATTTGCCCTATTGTAACGGTCGTAAACAAACATTTGTGTGAGGTCGTCAATATTGTAATTACGTGAAAATGTCAGTCTCTAAATGTCTGGAAATACGGACGATCATTACATTTTGTGCAAATATTGGTAAAACACAAACAGATACCTACAAAGAACTTAAAAGGGCAAGCGGGGACAAGTTCAGTGTCACGAAGGCTGGTTTTTAAATGGCACAAACGCTCTGTAGAAGGGCGAGAGTAGGTAGACGATGACAACCGGTCAGGCCGACGTCCGTCCGTAATGCAGGACTATGTGACGTGGGTTGTCCAATATATTCGTTCACTGGTGGGATGTGTTATGTACATGTCCGTTGCATAAGAACAATAAAAACTACAAAATACTGTGCACCAATCATTCCTCTTTTCACAGTAAAACAAATTTAATATAAAAAGCAAATGCCACTTTACAAGCAACAAACAATTAATACAATTACAGTAATGAACTAACCCAATTTTTTGCCGTGCGCCGGTATTACGTTACTAAGGTAACTTAATGACCATTCTTTTACACGACACGCCGGTTACCCGGCTTTTTCTTTTGTTTTCTCATTTGAGACAGATTTCCCCTTCAAGTGATATATAATTCATTTGTTTTTATTTATAACTCTCATGACAATTACTGCAGTGCACGAATTTTTTGGACAACCCTCGTACATGCGTCAAGGTCAATTTCAGTTTGATATACATGAAGGTATCCTGATCTAAAATATGTTGTGTCTAAATATGAATATAATCCATTTATAAACAACAAAGTAACAGCCAGTTACAGGACAAAACCAAGAGAATATCATTTAAATTAATTTTAGCTTGACAGTAAGGGAAATTTAAGGCAAAAGTCACGTCTAAATTATTTTATATGTTTGTTCAGAAGATCTTTTTATTTTGTCCAAGTATAAATCGAATTCGTTCATAAGTAACAAAATTATACAAATTTAACCAAAATTCATGACGGTCAAAGTCGTTTACAGCTCAAGGTCAATGTCAGTTTGACCTTTAAGACGATCTGATCGAAAGTGTTGTTTTGTCAATACATTAATTAATTTTCATGTTACAGTCAATTAAAGCAAAAATCAGCAAAAAATCAATAATGTAACCTTCATGGTCATAAAATCCTGGTGTCAATTTGAGTTCAATATGCGAGTTAAATATACATGAAGGTCTGATCCTAAAGAACGTTGTGTTATTTAATGACGTCAATCCATTCCTTTATAACAAAGTTAACAAAACAATGAATAAATTAATAGGTCATTATGGATGAGGATCAAGGTTTGTCTAGTGTTCATAAAGGTCATGTATCAAGGGTTGTAGTGGCCAGGTATGAAGACAATACACCAAGAACTTAAATTGTTATAATCCAGGTAAAGGTTTTCGGACAACGCCGACATATCTGTAATAATGCCTAATACTCATTCAAAAAAAGTCAAGCTAAGAATGACATTATAAACGTTTTATTTGTATATATAAACAAGAATTGTTTCCATAGTTATGCACAAATAAATAAACAAAATATTAAGTTATCATTCATCTTTGTATGAAATATGTAATATCTTCATATAAAAACTATGTTTTTGCAATAATCGGTTAAAATGGCAACAAAAATTATGATAATACTTCAAATAAAACATATTTACACATAACAACATTAATGAATTTAATGCATGACCAAATTAATGTATATAAAGACAACTAGGTCTTTTTAGACCTTTGAGAAAAACAAATAAAAATTATATTTTCAAATTTCCCCTAAAAATGTTTACAGATATAAACGTAAGGCTGACATTCTCATAATTTCAGTAAGTTTTCCATGATTAAGGCAAATATCATTACTTAAGTTAGTCCACTATAAAACATACAATGCAAAACAAAAAAATCTTTAAAAACAAGGGCAACATTATGCCAAATACGTCCGTAATAAAAGCTTTTGATGGACATGCGGTATTATAGAAATTAGCTCTAAATGTGACATTGACCTTTGAACTGTTTCATGTATGAAACAAAACGTTTAATGGTGGTGAACATTTCTATAAATTATCACAAAACTCTTCAATGCATGTACATGTAGGCGACATGATCCAGACAAAATCCAGCTATTTTGTCATCTTTAGTGACCTTAACCTTGCATAAATCGACATAAAATAAAAGTATCATGACGTAGTCATGATAATGACCATTTGTGTTACAATCCCTCAATTAATGATGACTAAATGGTCTCTTTACACATCTTCATTTTTTACCTGAACTTTAACTCCTATGTGTGACCTTAACCTTAGCCGCAGTGACCTGAAATGTGCGTTCAACGCTCTGCCTCACAATGGTGAACATTTGTTCTAAATTACATTTGTAGAAATTTTGCTCAAGACTATTGTTATATTTACCTTTATGTGTGACATTACCTTTGACCTACAGACCTTGTTCTTGTCTGCTACACGGCTTCTGATAATAGTATACATTTTTATAAAGTTTCATCAAAATCTGGATATTTCGACATCTTTAGTGACCCTGACGTTCAAAGACCTCTACATGTGACCTTGACCTTTGACCTATAGATCTTATTCATGTGCAAGACACGATTTCTTTAAGTGGGAAACATTTCTTTGAAGTTTCATTAAAATACCTCCATGCGTGTAGGAGATATGCTTTGAACAAAATCTGGATATTCGGGTACCTAGACCTTGCATATATTGACCTAAATTACAAAAGTCACAGCTGAAACTTGAATTTTGCGTGCGATACTCAACTCAAAATGGTGAATATTTGTGCAAAGTAATATTGAAATCCCTTTATGCATGTAAAAGTTAAGCTCTTGACAAGGTATTTCAATGAATTCTAAGTGTTACCTTGACCTTTGACCTAGAGACCTGATTCAAGCGCGCGACATGTTTTCTCACAGCGGTCAACTTTTCTATGAAGTTTCATCAAAATCCCTCCATGCATGTAGGAGATAGGACAAAAATAGGAGGCCGCCAGTCCGCACGCCAGGTGCATACATATAATACGACCTGTAAACGGGCTTATAAAAAGTGTATTTTTGGTTGCCATGGTAACAATTGTCGGTTTGAGGCAAACAGGGTAACAACAACCATGTTACCTCATTAGCTTTCAGTTTTTGTAAGTAGAAAAGGTTTTATAAACTTGCAAACAATTCACGATCAAAGAAAAATACTGTTGTTTATGCCACCGCAGTATTCAGCTTTTTCAGGGATACTGGTTATGACATAAATTCTATGAGGATGTAATTAACTTTTGGCATAATGTCAAACGTTGACAAGTCATTGACATCTCACTTGCCCTCCTGAAATATCCAAAATCTGAATTAGTCTAAATGAAACACTGTACTGCATGTAAATATTAAGTACATGTAAATTATATAAATTGTAATTAATATTGCACAGCTATTGGGTCCACATACGGTCTGGTTCATGTTAGTTCTTCTGTAAGATAGAAAAGTCTATACAGAATATCGTGGTGCAGTA